TTTTTCTTTAATAAAATAATTATTCACTAAGTAAACAATAATTAAAGTAATTACAAAAGAGAAATTCAGATCATGGTATTTAAAAGGTATAGCCGTGCGGCTATAATGTTAAATATTCCATTTATAAAGTATGGCTGGCCGGCTATACGTTGAATATATTCTATTTAAATGGTATAGCCAAGCGGCGATATTGTTAAAATTTTCTATTTATAGAGTATAGCCGCACCGTTGTTCTTTGAAAATATTCTATTTAAAGGGTATCGCCGGGCGGCTATACTTTTAAATATTCCATTTATAATACCCGCGCCACTATACTCTTTAAATATAACAACAAAAATCGGGATTTATTGTGTCGCAAATTTTATTAGTTATACATTTCTTAACAGAAGAAGAATTTGTGCATCTTTCTTTCTTTCTTTTTACTTTCCGCACTCTCTCGTTTCATCTAGAATCCTAACGACAATGGGGAACTTTACTCTAATATTCAGGTGATTTACTGTGAACTCACAGAAGCTGAAAAAGACTTCTATGAGGCCCTCTTTAAAAGATCAAAGGTATATTTGGATTTCCCTGATTGCCAGTTCTTTTGATCTATTGTATAATGCAGTATCATTAACAAGTCTATTTTAATTATCAGGTGAAGTTTGATCAATTTGTGGAGCAAGGACGGGTTCTTCATAATTATGCATCCATATTGGAGTTACTTTTACGTCTTCGCCAATGTTGTGATCATCCATTTCTTGTGATGAGGTGTGTGTTAACCCCCCTTTTTTCCACTTATTGGATTTACGGTAAATGAGTAAAAATGCAGAGTGGAAAATGTCTCAAGTTCATACAACTAAGCGTTAGGCTTGTTTGATTTGTTCAGTCGAGGTGATACACAAGAATTTTCTGACCTGAATAAGCTAGCTAGGCGTTTCCTTAAAGGCAGCCAGAATTCTTTGGAAGGGGAAGCCAAAGATCTGCCTTCACGGGCTTATGTTCAAGAAGTTGTAGAAGAAATGCGTAAGGGGGAAAATGTAGAGTGTCCAATATGTCTTGAAGCCTTTGAAGATGCAGTGTTGACACCTTGTGCTCACCGCTTATGCCGTGAATGTCTCTTGGCAAGTTGGCGGAATTCAACTTCTGGTTTATGTCCTGTGTGTAGGTATATTCAAGTATTACCTTAGTATCTCAATTTATCTGAAGCCAAGGTTTATTTTCTGTTCTTCGTGAAGTTTTTATATTGAAATTTACTATTTTAGTCTTAGAATTTAACAGTTTCTCATTACAGGAAGAACACGAGTAAGCAAGATCTTATTACAGCACCAACTGAGAGTCGATTCCAGGTTGACGTTGAGAAAAACTGGGTGGAATCATCCAAAGTTAATATTCTTCTGCGTGAACTTGAATCTCTTCGCTTGTCAGGCTCAAAGAGCATTGTCTTCAGCCAATGGACAGCTTTTCTGGACCTCTTGCAGATCCCTCTTTCTCGGTAAAAATTACCAGATTTTTAAATTTTTTGAAAAAAGTACATTAGTTGTGTGAGTGCATGACTATGCTGAAGCAAGGACAGTACTTGTGATGTAATGAAGCAAGGGATATAATTCTCCTCTTTCCACCATATGCTGTTTGTGTTTGAGTTATATTATCCTGGTAATTTGCTGCTCGAGAGTTTGATGCATATTTTTTTAATTTTCCAACTAGGAGTAACATTCCGTTTCTTCGCCTTGATGGGACGCTGAATCAACAGCAGCGTGAACAAGTGTTGAAACAGTTTTCAGAAGATAGTGACATTCTGGTTGTGACTGCTGACTTCATCGTATTCTATTTTGTTTAGTTTTTGTTCCTGGTGTGTATTTTTTTATTCTAGTAAACAGTTTAGATGTAACCGTTGGAGATTGGTTGTTGTATCAGGTGTTACTAATGTCACTGAAGGCAGGAGGAGTTGGAATAAATCTAACGGCAGCATCAAATGCCTTTGTCTTGGTATGCATACAATTGAGATTTTGAAGATAAATTTGTGATGGGGTAAACTTACAATTGTTGTAATGCCATGTTTGTAGGATCCATGGTGGAATCCAGCTGTGGAGGAACAAGCTGTCATGCGTATTCATCGTATTGGTCAAACAAAAAGGGTGATGATCAGGCGGTTTATCATGAAGGTCCTTTTTCTTATCTGATAAATTTTAATGTCTTATTTCTTTATAATGGACTGGGTCGGGTGGCTCTTACAAAGTTTTGGAATTTCAAAGGGCATCATCACCTATGAATGTGACGACATTCACCCCTCTGATTGGTGTTATATTACTTGGATGTTCATGGATGGCAGGGAACGGTTGAGGAGAAAATGGAAGCAGTACAAGCACGTAAGCAGCGACTCATTTCGGGTGCTTTGACTGACCAAGAAGTTCGAACTGCTCGCATAGAGGAACTAAAGATGCTTTTTACTTGAAGGCATTGGAGAAAATTATTAACTGTTGATTTATGTCACTTTTTCGGGTGGGTTTGAGCACTAAGAGATCCTCATATGGAAATGTTTAAACCCAGAAAGATGAGACAAGATGCTTCTTCTGAGTTGCAGGACTTCAAGGGAGGTTGGTTGAGGCTAATTTGTAATTAAGCTGACAAAATTTGAATTTCTGCCGAGTCGAATCCAAGGACGGTCAGAGCTTGGGCTGTGCAGGGTCGTTATTTTTGCAAGCTGCCTAAAGGCGGGTTGGTTCACAGGAAGGATGGAAAGAAGTTAGCACATCCAATCCAATCCAAATGTAGTTTTGATATTGTTAGGATCGCCGCACTGCTACTTAATGGCAGTAAAGTTATTTCAAATCATAGGAATCCTCTGGATTATTCCTTTACAGTTTCTTTGTATAGATTGTTTTATGTATTTATTTAGTAACGTTTGCATCATATTGTTACATTGTACCCGGGATCAAGTTTCCGCTGCCATTGCTGCAAAACATAATCAGTGATATTTGTGTAAAATCAGTTATTGATGACCGCACCATCGATAATATAGAATTGGAGCAAATTGCCTCTCAGATTTGTAAAAGATCAGTTCGGCTACTCAGATTATAATACAAAAAGCTATCACGTTTGGTTTTCTGACACAATTAAATTAAATTTATAAACAGATGGGAAAGGAGTAACGGATATATGGCAAACAGACAAAAGCGGATAAACAAAACGAATATGCTGTGAAAATTTTCTATTTATAGAGGATAGCCGAGCGGCTATACTGTGAAAAATATTCTATTTAAATGGTATCGCCGCGCGGCTGTACTTCTGAAAGTTCCTATTTATAGCGTATAGCCGAAGGGCTATACGTTTAAATATTTTATTTATAGAGTTTGGCCGCCCGGCTATACTGTTATAATATTCTATTTAAAGGGTATAGCCGCGCGGCGATACGCTTAAAATATTCTATTTAAAGAGTCTAGCCGATCGGCTGTTCTATTTGAATATAATATTTAATGCGTATAGCCGCGCGGCTGTACTGTTTAAATATAATAATTAAATAATACATCCGCGATTGTACTCTTCAAATATTAGAAATGGCCATTTCCACAGGTGACTAAAGCATAAGATAGATTTTTCTGTATTTCTCGGACCTTCTCACGTTTGGATGCCTCCTCTTTTGCAGTCCTTCCTTTATCTAGAACATCAAAATGATTGTAATGCTACTACTAAATTCATAAAGTAAAAAACAAAAAGAAATTTCCAGTGGAAAAACATATACGCAACAATAACTCACCACCAGATTTCTTTGCAGCTTCTCAGTTTCCCTTTCACCTGTACAACCATTGGCTGGCTCTACTTTTGCAGAATGATTAGAACCGCAATTGTCGAGGGAACAAAAACAAATGCAACAGCCAAAAAAAATTGAAGAATAAGTTTCTAAAACAATTGGTCCAAAATGAATAAAAGAGAAACTGATTGGTGCGGTGGCATCCAAAAACGCCTCTTCGCTTCTTTCATGTTCTTAGCAGCGATAGACTCTGCAATGTACACACCTTGCTCACTGGAAAGCAAGCCTTCATGAAATCTGAAAAAACATAAGTGGAAAAAAAATTGAAACAAGTTAGAGAACAAAAAAAAAACATTAAGTACTACGCTAATATATCCTAAACAAGATACGTAAATGGAGAATAGTTATCAGGAAAATTTAAATCTCCATAGATCCTGTTACAGCCCAAGAAAACCTAAAGATAAGCAAACAGATTACTAACATTTTTCCAAGACCCAAAATATGCAAAATTGGGCAACATATTACACTCTTCAGTCAAGCCGTTCGGCTATACTTTTAAAATATTTGAATGTATTTACCCTTTAAATACACATTTTTGTCCTATCGTTTTAGGGTCTAGGGCTAAAATACCACTTTAGCCCATTGGGCTAGAGTTATTTCTTCAATTATTTTATTTATATAAGCGATATTGGGGAATGAAAATTTAAATTCTTTCTAATACCTCCCATTCTAATGATTTCCACCTATTAGCCCATTGGGCAAGAATAAAAAAATGGATTTTATTGATAACAAATAATACGGGTTAAACCCATAAATACAACAACGGCTCTTCGCTTGTTTCATGTTCTTAGCAGCGATAGACTCTGCAATGTAGACACCTTGCTCACTGGAAAGCAAGCCTTCATGAAATCTGAAACAACATGAGTGGAAAAAAAAAATTGAAACAAGTTACAGAACAAAAAAAAAACATTAAGTACGCTAATATATCCTAAACAAGATACGTAAATGGAGCATAGTTATCAAGAAAATTTAAATCTCCATAGATCCTGTTACAGCCCTAGAAAACCTAAAGATAAGCAAACAGATTACTAACATTTTTCCAAGACCCAAAAGATGCAAAATGGGGCAACATATTACCCT